TGTTCTCTTCGATTTTTTTGCTTGCGGATTATCTAGCCGTAATTAAACTAAATGCATAATTTTTAATTGAAAAAGTAGACACATGTTGTTTATCTTATGTATAACTACATTTGATTTAGATTTTGAAGTCATTTAGGATTGTGTATTATGTTTTTATCTCGTTTCAATGTTGTTTATATGTTGTTTATCTTATGTATATATATCGTTATTATTAGAGAACTGTCAAATGTGTATTATCTTTTATCCCCTTTTAGTGTTGTTTATATGTTGTTTATCTTATGTATATATGTACGGTTATTATTAGAGAACTGTCATATCATGTTTATCTAATGTATATATAAACTATATCTGAACATATATACATATCACAAAGAGCATTTTTTTTTTTTCAATCCCTTAATTTTAAGCTTCAAATTTGTTGTTCTTTTCGATTTTTTTGCTTGCGGATTCTGTAGCCGTAATGAATTAAATGCATAATTTTTAATTGGAGAGAGAAACATATTTATTCCTAATTGAATTAAATGCATACTTTTTAATTGGAGAGAGAAACAAATGGAGAGAGACAAAGTCCTTGGGCAATTAATTACATGTTTATTGATTGGAGAGAGAAGGAAATCAAGAGGTGGCAGTAAACCACGTACTTGTGAAAAGAAAACCAACATCAAGTCCTATTTTGATTAAACTTTATTCAAATCGTATAAATGATAATATTTGTTATATAGAATATATGTATGTAAATTTCCCATAATGCCATGGAACCGCATGTAATGCCCTGCAGTACCCTTATACATAGCATCTTAATTAATTATTGGGCTGAATAATACTTGTTTCTACAGCTAGGCTAAACTACTTGGCCCAATTTGTAATAAGCAATTGAACCTGTAAGCCCAATTGAGAATCAGTTAATAGATTCTTCAGCCCTAATGTCATTTCTACATCGTCGTGTTTCCTATTCATCTGCTCAACTCCGGCCAATTCCCGACCAGTGTCCTTCTGGGACGTAACGAAGCCTTTTGAAATGTTAATTGGGATATGACCACTGAAGCTTCAAGGTAAACGTAGCTTATAAAGCAATTTTCTCGATCAATCTAACACTATATTACAATTGTATCTCCCAATAGATGGCCTTATTTCCCGATGTTTGGTAGTTTCGGTTTGGTTTGTCTTTGTGTTGTATTATCTTAGGTTGCGTTTGTGTTGTATTGTATGCAAGAGTCTCCGTGTTTAGGCTTCAGGTTTCAGGTTTCTCTCTTACCCTTTTCGACTTCTTAGCTGTTGAGTGTTACCATTAGTTGTTAAATCTGAATCCTGGTATCTTCTGAATGCTACTGCCTTGGTTTGAAGTTGCGAAAATCAGGTGCCCTTTGTTAGAATTTCGGATATTGAGCAGAACATGGCCTCGATCGATAGGCTGAGCAGCTTGCCGGACTAAGCCATATGCCACATTCTCTCTTTCCTCCCGACAAAGCTCTCAGTGGCGACCAGTGTTCTCAAGAAAAGATGGAGGTTTCTATGGGCCTATGTACCCTGTTTGAACTTCAGTGAAGACGATGATTTCAGGGAAGAAGGAACACAAGCCTCCGACATCATCCATAGGGTTATATTGCAGCACAAGGCAAAAAAAATGGATACTTTAACACTCTGTAACTTCAAATGCAGCGAGTATCAACTGGAGACATGGATTATGACCGCCATCGTGCGTGGTATCCGGAATCTTTATCTTGAACTTAAATTAGATACAATCCCTCGATCCTTCTTCAACTGCAAAACTATTGTCGACTTGAAGATTGATAACAATAGAGCCCCACTCTCTGCTGTGGACAATGTCTATCTGCCTAGCCTCAAGAAGTTTTATGTTTTTAATGTTGTGTGTGAGAATGATGATGCGCTTCCACGCTTTCTTTCCGGCTGTCCGTCGCTTGAGGAGTTGAATATGAAATTCACGTTTGTGGACGAACATGATTATGTGGACTGCATAAATATATCATCACCCACAATGAAGACGCTTGAGCTCGATATTGACCGTTCTTCTGGATCTAACATTGAATATAGGATTACAATAAATGCCCCGGCACTTAGGTATCTCCAAGTGGATGAGTATGCTTTGGAGTGTATAACAATTCCTATAACCATGATCTCCTTAGTTGAGGCGGAAATCCAATTAGAAAATAATTCGCTCTTACATCTTAAAGCGAATTACAATTCCACGGTGGTGAAGTTTCTTCATTCTCTGCGTTATGTAAAGTGCCTAATGATATCAGTTTGGGAATTTGAGGAAGTATGTTTTGATTCTTCAGTCTCTTAGAACCTCCTATAAATTAGTTTTCGTTCAGCTTGGTTCTTATATATATACATGTATATATATATATATTTTATATATATATATATATATATTATATATGAATTTTGTGGTTTTATTTTTTATTTTTTCCTTTTTTTTTTTTTTTTTTCAGTTTATGCAAAGAGGAGTTTCTGGTTCAAATGTAAAGTTTGATAATTTAACCAAACTTAAACTCCAAGTACATGTTAAATGGAGTTTGCTGGTGAAGTTCCTCGAAGTTGCTGATAATCTTGAAGTCCTTATTGTAAGTGAAGTTTATCGTTGATGCAATTGAACTTGTCTTTTAGCCGTTTCTCGTTTTTCTTGCAGCAATAGCTCCTTCTTTTGTTTTACTCATTTTGTTATGCTCCTTTTTGTGTGAGCAGGTTTATTCAAAAAAGGGATATTTGTGTCCGGAGCCTGAACAAGTGCCTAAATGCCTATTATCATGTCTACAAACTATAACTATCTACTGGATGCGGTTCGAAGAGCATGAATTTGACATGGTGAGATATCTTTTGAGTAATTCTCGAGTATTGGAGAGGATGGAACTATTGTATGAATGTATTGATCTGAAAAAGAAATTCCAAGCGCTGCAGAGAATTTCATTGTTTGAGCGAGGATCCAAAGCATGTCAGCTTGCCTTCCTTCCCTATTCTGAGTGATTGGCTTGAGATCTTATTATGTTGTAAGTACTGATATCTGCATTCTGGCAACCGAATGTTTTTTAACTTATGTAGTAACTATTTCGACTTGCTTATGCTTCTTGCGATTGTGAGACAACGAAAATATCGAGTATGTGAGTATGTAACATGATGATGATTCATAAACTCCCAAGTGTTATGTTTAAGTGTTTCTCAAGTTTTAGTGGCATTTGTCCCCACCCTTGTTGCAGTAGCAGCTGCTCATTTACTAGCAAGTACCAGAAAAATTGATTGAAAAAACTCCCAAGTGTTATGTTCAATCTTACTTTATTAGTAGATTTTATACACAGTAAATAATCTAGAAGTATATGGTTCGATTGTGCCATCACTAATTTCAATGTACTGTATGCTTTCATGATCCGAACCTGATCATCATTTAGACCAAACTTATATGCTTGTATCCTATAGTATTTTCAGCATACAAATGGAAATTATGCATGAATGGGAGCTCATTGTTCCTTACAAACTTTCTTTCAACAAACTCAATGCGGAAGTCTAGTTCATCAACTTTCTCTAGCAAATACTGGAGAAACATGCATATTTTTTAACTTTACTAGAGTATTTACTTTAATGCCATTCATATAACACCTTCCATTTAAACAAGATTCTTGTTTTTTGGGTAAAAAAGATTCATCTCCCGGCCTTTGTCATGGAGAGAACACCTGAAACGCACGAGAGAATCCAGTTGTTTCATCGACAATCTGTAGAATGCAAGCTCATGTTCACGTGGGATTAAGCTTGATTTTAACTGTTGGATGATCAACACAAATGTTAGTTCTTAAGTATTCAGGTGGTGATTGTGTCTTTGGAGTTTGTGTTCTGTTGCTGATGTAGGACTAATGTTTCTTCCTGTTGAAGGTGGATAAGATATCCGATTTTTTTCCCCCTTTCCTTTTTCCTTTTGCCCCTTCTAGTCCAGACTAGTCCTTATACTCTGTTGTATGTCTTGTAGTTTACTTGAATAAAATCAAAAGAAAATTCACATGTGTGCAATCTTATCTGAAATTCAATACGAGGCAGATTTTTTTTTAAATATCTGGCTGGCCAGTTCCTGTCGACTTTGCGCAGTCGATTCTCCAATCTGCACGAGTTTATTTTATGTTACACTGCATAAATACTTTTCCATTGCACAATTTTCAGGGCTGGAGGAGATGGTAACGCTCAAATGCTGGGTGCGAGGTGAAAGTTGGAATGTTTCTCATCTATGAATATTATCAGGTTCGATAATTTAACCAAACTTCATTTGGGTGCTGCTCGTTCTTTTCTCAAAGAGTCCTGATAATTTTGGAATATTTATTGTCTCCTTAGGTATTTTGGACGCAATGCAAGATTTTACAGTTCTGTGACACCCCTATAGTTCTTAGTTTACAGTATTGAGACTGTTTTCATCATCTTGTGGAGGAATGTCAGAAAACGCTTTATATACAGCTATAATAATCAAATTTTTCAGTGTAAACATGTTAATGTATCTTCTTGTTTCAAAATCTAGTCCTGTCCAAGGTGTAATATTTATTTATTTATTTATTTTTATTAAGCTACACATATTTAGAGCTAAAAAACATTTATACTACAAATTTTTAAATTGTAATATCTGAGATGCAAATGCCGTGTTATGAAACAGGTTGAAATACAGGAGATCTCGGGTGAGGAAGTGAAGAAATGGGGATTTCAAAATGAAGGAGAAGAGAAGGGTTCGATTTACTTCATCCTTACACATAAAATGAAGTGAATAAATGGGGATTTCACGCCCTCTTGTCCCGATATCAAGACCTCCGTCTCCACAAGTGTCCTTGCCAAAAGATGGAGGTCCATGTGGGCCCATGTCCCGAATCTCGAGTTCAACATCAACGACCACCGCTCGAGGACCTGGCGCTCGACAAGTTGGAGACCGCTTGACCTGTGAAGTGCCTCAACGTGTCCTATGGGCCCATGCTTGGGAGACTCACATGCAAGGAGATTTTATTACGTCAAGCGTATGGGAAGGAAATGCACGTACACGGTGAAGATAGATTCTCCCAGGCTGAGATGTCTCGAGTTACGGGACTTGGCCGCCATGGCACCTCGGTCTGGTTTCAAGTGCACGCATCGTGTCTGGCATCAAGCTTCTTGGGGCAGTTGTGATTTATTTTCACCACTTTCGAGTCAAGAGGATTCTGTTGTTCATGCGAGTGTCTGTCGACTAAGAGTTTGCTTTCTATTGAGATTGTATCAGGAGGGTCTGGACTATGGACTGGGATTTGGTTCGTTTAGATTATTAGCGCTGATTTTTCTAAGTTGTGTTTGGTATGTTTGTATTCTGTAACGATGACTATTTGGGAGGTCTTCGTGTCGTGATGTTCCTTCAGTAGGCATTGTGTCCCTCGGCTGCTCCATGACGGACTCAGATTTGAGAGAAAATTCAGGATTGAGCAATGAATCGGACTACTTGAAAATATATAAGCATTGTTTGGCTATTAGCTGATAGCGGATAATGGGTTACTGATAATAGATTTTATTAGCGGATAACTTATAGCAGATTGTAGTAGCCAATTTATCTACCAAATTGTGTTAGGGGTTTGTAAACAAAAGTTTGGTAAATAACGTATAGTTGATGTGAAAATTTGATGTTCATGTTATTCTGCAAATTATCTTTACAAAATGATCTTGTATTGGTTTTTCTTTTTCTTTTTAAATTAGTGTTTTCGGTCAAAACCCTAAACTAGAAAACTCTTTCTTATCAAATAAAAAACTCTAATTAAGTTCACGAAAAATATGGGATTGAAGTTTATTATTTGCTTTCTAAACCTTGTAATTAGATGGTGATTGGATTATGCATTCAATGGTAATTGTGGTGTTATGTGTACGGGAAGAGAGAGACTGCACTAACAAATCTTTTTCTTCCATTTCTTATGCACTCAACTCAATTAATACATAACAAACTCATCATGGAACCGCATGCAATTACCTACAATAGCCCTACACATAGAGATGTAAACGAGCCGAGTGGAGCTCGAGCTTAGGGTGCTCAAGCTCGAGCCCTTAACGAGCCGAGCCGAGCTCGACTCGTTAAGTAAACGAGCCTGCAATCAAGCTCGGCTTATTAAAGCCTCGAGCTCGAGCTTTAACGAGCCTTATCGAGTCGAGTCGAGCTCGGCTCGTTAGCCAAACGAGATTTAAATGAGCTCAAGCTCTACTCGTTAAGGACTCGAACTCAAGCCAAATTCGAGTCTTAACGAATCGAGCCGTGCTCATTTAATTTAACAGCACACATATCATCTTAATTAACTATTGAGCTAGATAATATTTGCTTTCTACAACTAGGCTAAACTAATTCACGTATTATAATATCCCTATATATAATTCCCGAATGCGCTGAGCCTACGTGGGTTCTTCTGGTGCTTCGAATCCTACTTGGCAAAGAATCATGCTTTGTAATTAGGTTTTTGGACAAATAATATTGATATATTAATAATTAATAATCTAGGGTCAGACATTTTATAAATATTATTTAGCTAACTTAGGTGTTTTAATATCACTTGTACTAATATAATCTTTTAATTCTTGTAATTTTACATAGTGAGGCACCAAGTGACTAATATATCCCTGACTTTTGATTTGTTTCCTTCAATAGCTATATTGAATTATAAATGTATTTTAAAAGTTGATAACTTTTGTATTTCTTATAGGTTTTATATATATAATATATCAAATTAACCATCTTTTCATGATCTTCGATTTGACATTCATATTGTATATATAAAATAAATAAATTATATTTATCTTTATAATAACAAAAAATAATAATATTTATTAAAATTTATTAGAAAAATAAAATTATTTCTCAGTTGATATATTTATGTTTAATGTAGTTATTATATATTGTAAGTTAAAAAAATTATTATAATATAACAAAAGTAAATCACACAAATAAAAAATGTCATACTAGATATATAATAATATATATATTTTTTTTAATAAAAAATATTTAAATTTTCAACTGTTTTTTTCTTATTAATTTTAGATTTTAAGGAAAAAAAATTAGCAAGCAATATACGGGCGTTGTACTAATTAATAAGTAATTAAACATCTAACCCCAATAACATCGACTGATTACGCGTGTCATTCAGGTCCGGATAACAAATCCCGCCTCGCCCTGACCCGGCCTGCTTTTTTT